TTGTTTCTTTCATAGTGTTTCTTTCTTCTGTTTTTTTTTTTTAAATTATGGTTGGGTTTTTAACTGTCCGTCGAGTTTTGTAAGGTTTATTAACTCGAAGTTTTTTGTTACTGCTATTAGTTTTTTAATTAGCATTTCTGCAGTCTTTAGGATCTTACGAGAATCTTTGTAAGTCTATTATTGAATTGATTGCATTTGTATTGCATCATTTTCATTTGGAGAATAGGATTTTATTTCATAATCCCATCCTGTATTTGTTGTTACTCTGTTAGATTTATTCTTTCTGCTAGTTGCCCCTTCTCTCTGCATATGTTAGAGTTGGTTGGTAGCTTTCAGTTTGGATTGTTTTATGCCATTATTTGAGCTTTCTATATGCTGGCGACTGCTGTTAGTTTGGGTTTATCGTTTATTGCTATCTTTGCCGAGCCAGAGCCTTTATTAATCTTATAGTCTTTTTTCTATTGCTTGAGAGCTATTTTCCTTTGGTAGGGAGCCTGGGAGAAATTATTCTGCGTGGATACTGGACGGTTCGATTGACCAATCAGAACTTGCCATATCATTTGATACTGACACATAGCGGTATGGAGCACCGGTACTGAGCAAAAAAATAACGTGGCGCATTCTGGTTGGTCTCTGGACGCTGTCTGGGATCCGTACAGAATAATTTTTTGTTGATTGGTTCACTGTAGCTTTTGACTCTTCTGTTTATAAATAATTCTTCAGCTTAGCATTGTCATGCTGTGGGCTTATATGCTGCTTGTTCGGCTTAAGTCCAGTATTTCGTATTCATGAAGTTTTTTGGTGTTTACTTCAGTCATTTCGTCGGCGATCGTGGAATGTTCTTTTTTTTTTTATTTGAAGTGGTCATTCATTTTCTACACTTAATTCTATTTGATCTGAACTTAGGAATTTGTACTGCCTGTATCAGTTCGTTATTGATCAGATAACTGGGTTGCAAACTGGAAGATCAAAGCTGCTTGGCTTGACAATATTTTTTTTGCAGAAGCTGTGAACTTTTAAATTGGTGAAAAGTTATAAAAGCAGATAAATGATTTCCTCTCATGGTATCACTCAATCACAAAGAACATTAAGGCTTCGTATGGGACGGCTTTCTTACTATTTAATAAAGCAAATTTTTATTACAAAAATTTTAATTTTAGTACTAAAAAATTGTTTTAAGAAGCAGTAATAAAGCCTCCTCAAATAAAGCCTAAATCACCTGATGGTGCGAGGTAAAGTTGATTTTAAGTCTCTAATGGTTAAATATTTATATTATTTATTTTCTAAGAAAAATATACTTGAATGTTACTTCCAGATGAAGGCTTCATTTTGGACGGCTTTCTTTCTGCTTCTTAAAACAGTTTTTTAGTACCAAAAATAATTTTTTTTTTAATTAAAAAACTGTTTAAAAGCAATAAGAAAGCCATTCCAAACGAAACTGAAGTTATTAGTGATGAGGCAATATAAGGGATAGGCTCATATTGATATTGCAAATGCTTGAAGGTGATAGCTGTTGAAATATACTTTTTTATTTTTTATTTTTATGTAATCAGTATCTTTTAAGCAACATCTTTCTTTTCTTTCGAGCGATCATTTGCTTGTAAATTTTCATTATGAGCTCATTCAAATGAATAGGTGTTAGTATTATTATTTTTTTAATTAGAAAAGTCTAAATACAATTATTAATCCATGTTTATAATGGGAAGGAAGTGAGCAAGCTTCAAATTTCATATTCAGTGTTCGGTTATTGTTTGAATAAAACTCTATTATCTGTTTTAAGCCTAGGGGTTTTGAGTATTATATGTGAAAATGGGTTCATGTAGTTCTCAAATAAGATTCGAACGTCATGGATGAGTTTCGAGTCATGTTTGATTGAAAAAATTATTGTGGATGCCGAACTATGGAGGTCAATTAGAACGTGTTTGATCACCCAATACACAGCTGTGTATTGATGACATGTCACGTTTTGATTGGTCTCCAAACGCCATTCTGTGTCGCACGTAAAAAATTTTTGTTTGATTGAAGCACAATCCTCATTCAAGCATGGTTTAAATTTCATTCAAAATATTCAAATCATATTTGAATGAGGCTTATATCTCATTTGTACATAGTTTGAATTAGCTTCTATGTAGTTTCACCTTCTTTATACCTTGTTTGAACATGATTTAAAACAGCTCTTATGTAGTTTCAGCTTCTTAAGTAAGTTTGTGCACATAAAAAGATGAAATTATAGAGAAGTTGATTTGAATATGGTTCAAACAATATTTAAATATGAATATATGATTCTCCTTTTATCTCCTTTATGTCATACTTAGGCCTCGTTCGTTTGGGTGTTTTTTCCCTTTTCTATTTAGAAATGCTGAAATTATTTTTTGGTCGCTGATGCTTCTATAGAAATATTTTTTAGGGAACTTCATTTTTCTAATGTTTTGATAAACTTTTGATATTTAATTCTCCATTAGAAAACTTCATTCCCTCAACTAATACTTTTAAAACTACCTTTTAACCAATGAAGCCTTAGAGCTTTCGACAATGGAAAGGACATTCACTGCATTCATTAAAAAATAAATCAATAAATAAATAAATACTATTCCTTTTGTTTGATGGGGGCATGCGGTTACCTAATTTGGACTTAAACCAATACTTTATCATTATTATAACTCTTTTTTATGCATTGTATTTAATTAAAATGCGGCAGCGATAAGCTGGGTGGTGGGCTCGAAGATAGGGGTGTCAATTCGGGTCAACGGTCAACGAGTCAGGTTCGGGTCGAACCCAAGTTGACATGAATCTAAATGGGTCAACCCGAACCCGACCTGTTTTTGCAAACAGGTTGGACATTTCAACCCGGACCCGACCCGGCTGGGTTGCCGGGTTGACCCGACCAACGACCCGGCAGTGGGCGACGTGCGAGGGTTCGGCAGCGAGTGCGGCACGCGCGGCACATGGGTTCGAGCCGTTCGCAGCAGCGACGACGCTGGCTGCGACATGCGGCTAGGCGCGCACACGCGTGTTTCTGGCATCGCGCGACGCGCAGACTGGGCAGCGGTGAGGCAATTGCGGCTGCAGCGCGGGCAGCGCAGACTGGGGCAATGGGCTGCCTATCGCGGGGCAGGCGGCAGCGCAGACGGTCATGCAGCAGGAAATTCATTTTTTTAAATAAACGGGTTCGTCACCCAACCAGACCTTTTTTTAAAATGGTCGAATTCCGAACCTAAACCCGACCCGTTTTTTCGAAATGTGGTCGGGTTCCAACTTGGATTTTTCAGTGTCGGGTCCGAGTCAGGTTGCGTATTCGTGTAATATAATATTGACACCCCCTACTCGAAATGGGTAGCAGCTGGCGGTATGATGACAGCGATGGGCGTCTCTTACAATGATTGCCCGCAATATAACATTATTTCTATCCAAATTAATTATATGTTATTGAAATTTTTCATACTTAAAAAAATTACAAAATTAAATTCGATAAAATAAAAATATTAATATATATAATATTACTAAAATATATATATATATAATATATAGATATATATAAATATATATATAATATAATAATAATATTGCATATACATTTCTAAAATATTGTTATTAAAATTTATAATAATTAGATATAAAAGAATATTTTTAAGAAAAACCAAAAATAGTTTCGGAATTCAAGACTTTGGAAAATATTTTCCTTAGTCTAAGGCGTTCGTTATTTATTTGTATTTTGTAAAAAACAGTTTTAAAAAATTGATTAGAAAATTGAGTTTTTTAATGGAGAAGCATATATAAAAGCTTTCAAAACAACAATAATAAATAAAAAAATATTTGGAACGTGATTTAAGAACCAAATAGTAAAATAAAAAATAAATTTTGTTTTAAAAGAATAACAAAAAAAAATCCAATCAAAGGAAGCCTAGAATACAAAAAAATGTTTATCCACATTTGCTGCTTTTACTAAATATTTTTTAATGATGCTCCTTTTTATTAATTAATTATTAATCCAACTCTATTTAAAAATTGATCAACTATAAGAAATCAAACCAGCCTCCCTAATTTATAGTCACATTCTTTTAAATTATTAAGAAGAGTAAATTTCTATAACTTTAAGTATGTCGTGGATTATTTAAATTGAATCAAATATCATATTTTCTCGTTCTAAAATTTTCATATATAAATTTTAATTAATTTATTTATTATATTAATATTATTAGCTGAATCCTTATATAATATTAATATTTTTTTATTACTATTAGGGATATTATGACAAGCAACAACCCGAGAAAGCAGGCGTTTTCTGATAGCTTCCTTGGAAACTCCAAAAACGTTCAATTAATTGCCGTTTTCTATGGTAAGGGCATTTAATGAGAATTCTCACTCATTGGATATATTTCTTTGGGAAGACCATTTTTATCTTAATTATTTTCTTTGAGAATAATCAATTAGTCATACAATTTTTTTTTGTCTATTTTTTTAGGAGTATATTTAGATTAATAAAAATAAACATAAATACATATCATATAAATATATAAGATTCTAATTCAAAACCTCGTAGTTGGTAACAAAAGATTTCAATAAATAGATCAAGACGAGCTGCATCTCTTGATCTATTTGTTGGGAGCTTTAGCTATCGAATAAGAGATTTTAAATTCAAATCCGACTTATATGGTTGGTGTGAATTCATCTTAACTGATTTAAATATACTAAAAAAAATAGAGAAGGCGATCAAAGAGTCATTCTTGTAAAATCGTCTATGCAATGAGAAATTATTATGTACTGAGACCAGATGTAGAATGTCGTTCGGAGACCAACTAGAATGTGATACTGCAATACCGAGCCTTGGTACTGAGTGGTACCGAATGGCACTGAGCCACGATACCGAATAAGAGGTGACATGACACATTCTGATTGGTCTCCAAACGAATTCGACGTCCACACAGAATAATTAATCCTATCCACCGGTCATTTTCTACCAAAGCTAGATGAAAGCTCCTGCATTCAATACGTCTCCTATTTATTTTTTCGTAATCGCACCCTAATGCTACAATTTGGCCTCAATTATGCAAGTGAGAAGCTTCTGAACACCAAAAATAATGGCGAGAAAAAATAATATTTCTCTCCTCTTCCCCCTCCTCCTCCTCCCCATCATCTCCATCACCGCCGGCGGACCTGCCACTGTCTGCAGCTTCCTCGGCGCCAGCTACGTTTCCTACGACTATTGTATGGCTGTTCTATCCTCCGATCCCCGCAGTTCCACTGCTGACCCCCACGGCCTCGCCTTAATCACCGGTGACCTCGCCCTCGCCAACGCCACCGCCGTCCGCTCCACAATCAAACTCCTCCTCAATAATTCCTCTGACCCTTTCATCCACACCTGTCTTTCCCACTGCCGGAAAATCTACGAGGGCGCCATTTCCGATGTCCGGAAGGCGGCGAACGCCACAGCTCGCCGGAATTACGCCGCTGCCGAAGAACTTTTCGATGGCGTTCTCAATGCTCCCTCCGACTGCGAAGCAACCTTCTCAGCCCGACCTGTAGCGTCTTCTCCAATTGTGAAAGAGGACAACGAGTTCTCCGACATTGCTTGTTTGGGAAGAGCTATCAACAATTACTTGAAATAGGGGTATTTGAAGCTGAAATAAAGTGGTTGGTATTGATTTGTTTTGATTAAAAATGATGAAGAACTTCTATAATTGCTTGGTTTTAGCTCATTCTATTAGTTTGTTGGTTCATTAAAGACATGAAGATTGAGTGGCTTCAATGCATGCTTATAATTTATCTGCTCCAATCTTATTTTAGCTTTTTAGAAAATAGCTAGAGAGCAAGAAAGTTAGGTTATTTCTATGGCTTGAATCCTTCCAGCTCATCCTTGTATTTTTGAAGGAAATTGAATTCTCAGCATTATCAATTCTTGGTAGGACCTTTGTACATTTATATATTGATATTGAAGGTTTTAACAAAAGAAAAATCTAATGAATCTTGAGTTTGACTTTGATGCTTACTTATGGGGGTGTCAATATTTGACACGACCCGAAAATTCAATCTGAAAATTTTGGGTTTGGGTTGACCCTAGCCTGAACTGGGTCGGATTCATGTTAAGATTGACCCGAAAACTCAAGATTGACCGGAATGACCTGCACTGCCCTCGTTGATCAGACTTGCACACGCTGACTGCTGACCCTCCTACTCGCCGTCTCCGCGTCCTACACTCTTTTCGTGTTCACCGGCCCACCACTGATGCTGACCCGCCACTGCTGGCATTGTCGTGTCCGTGGGTCGGGCCGGGTTGACCTGAACACCAAGTGGGTCAACCCGGTTATTGTTTAAATTTTTAATAAATATACCTATATGATTTCTAACTAAGTCACCTTATCTTGTAATGTGATGAATATGAGAAATTAAATTTGATCTTGATATGTAATAATCTCATCTTAAAATGAAATTAGGATTTCATTAAAAAAAAAGTTTGGTTTTTAATTTTAATTTTTTTTTAAATAACTTGCTCACATATTGTATTAAATTACATCATAAATTTTTTCCTTAAAAATAAATATAATAAAATTGGTTTATTGAAAAATTTTTATTAACTCATCTCATAATTGTTAACTCTTTTTCATGTAAAATTTTCACAAATTTCAAAGACATGCCAATACGGCAATACTTCAGTCCTCTTGGTTTTGTCATACATTACAATTAGTTGTCAGATGGGCTCCACCATCTCAAGATGATCCTACTATGGCATAAATAGAAAATAAAAGTAAGCACCGTTGTTTAGTAATATTCTCATTGATTTTTGAAAATTTTGTATGACTATATTTATATAATAGTTATAGAATGTGGAACTTAGTTAAAATAGAATACACTCCACCTCATATATTTCAAAATGAAAAAAAGGTTGAAATTTCTTTTAATAAGTGGACAATCAAAGAAATAGGATATGTGAAATTGAATTTTAAATATTTAAATTATATTTTTATACATTAAAATCAGAAGATTATATGTGTGTACTTGCAAAATGGGTAAAAAAATTTAAAACATGCTATGTATTACCTATGATGGAACTAATGAAATCAACAATCCTATGTGATATTTAGTTGCATAATTATGATCTATTTCATATGAAGTAAAATGAATGCATCTTCAATGTGTGCACTAAATTTATAAAGATTGTCATATCCTTGCATGTTTTAGGAAATAAGAGATTTTTAATGTAAAAAAAAAAAATACATAAAACATTAAGATGCTTGCTTGAGTCTAGCGCTGGCAAAATCGGGCACGAGTCGAGTTCGGGTTCAACTCGGAACTGACCCGACCTGAACCCAGCAAGTTTTTTCAAACAGGTTACTTTCTCAGACCCAAACATGGCCTGCTTTTGACCCAGGTAAATCTGACATGACCCGCCAACCCGTTCGTCGTTTTTAGGAGGGAGAGGTGGCGGTGTCGGTTTGAGGCGACGACGAAGCCTTCAGGAGCAAGGAGAGGGAGAGGCGGCAGCGTTGGGAGTAGGAAGTCCCAATCTGCTTTGGCCTCAGGTGGTAGCATTGACTTTAGGAGCAGGGCGAGGGAGAGGTGGCGAGGAAGATAAGGCCAGGGTTTGGACTTCGGACCGAGCGCCGGCATCGTGACTACGAGATAGTGGGAGTTTAGGTTGAATCACGATTGCGAGAGGTCTGGTTGAATCGCAACAGCGGGAGAGGTCACGCGTTTTCATTTACTGTTTACATTGGGAGTTCGGGTCACGCGCGGGTCATTTTCGAGTTTTCAGGTCAGCCCGAATTAGACTTGAGTTTTGAAATCGGTCGGTTTGTTAAACCCGAACCCACCCCATTTGACAAACGGGTTGACCCTAACCCGGAATTTTTGGGTTGAATAAAATTTTGACACCCCTACTTGATTCTTGGGATGCCATGGTGATGATAATCTGTAAATCTAAACATTTATCTTCTTATTTTATTGATTCATCTACTTAGCTTGTTAATAGCATATAAATAAAAAGAATCATTAGAGATAAGTGGATGCAAACGACCAATTTAAGGATAAAGTCATTGCACTAACAATAGAAGAGATATATAGCAGTGAGTTAGAATATAAGGAAGATGCAGGCATTGGCTTCATAACTAGTCAATTTATATCCATATGTGGAAGGGCAAAGAAAAAATATATAGAAAGAATAATAAAATTGCTTACAATGATTTTTTTTTTTGCTTAGTGTAAGAACCAAGTAAGGACAAAGCTAAGAAGAAAGGAGAGACAAAGAAAAACAAAAGAAAACATATCAGGCTTTAAAATTGAGGCAGAAGTTATTAATCTCTGCTTAATAGTAAATAAAAGACTAGGTGATTTGGATATCGAGCATGCATACAACTTTTTCTTATGATGAACTGCTTTATTTTTTGAATAATTGCAAGCTAGTTTTAAAAAATTTAAAAATACACAAAAAGACATATTAGTTTGTGCAAGATTCTAAAATTTTAGGAAAAGAGCCAAAATATAATAAAAGAGATCACATTTTAATAAAATTATGGAAAAGCATAATAAATATTTAATAAAAGAAATTCAAGAACTAAAAAAGATTGCACCTACACATGTTCATACATATCCTAGGCTACTTTATTCATTCATTGGAGTTACTTGTTACTTATATGGCATGATAGGAAACATAGCAAAAATCACTAGTACTCTACGTAGCATGCATACATCATATAGCATTGGGGAACTTAAAAGTAATTTGGGTTCCTAAAGTCATATTTTAGCATATTTATGTAAGAACTGGACATCTATTACCAGCTGCTCGATCACGAGCATAATAGTGGACAGGACGGGCTTAACGGATCGCAAGCGATAACGAGATAGTTCGATGAGGTCAGATCGTGTGTTTGAGTGAGGAAATGCATCCATGAGTAGCCATTTTCATGAGAGATATGTCCATTTCACTTGTTCCAATAGAATAAAATAAACGTGAAAGATGTAGGCATTTCATGAGTATATGTCAATTTTAGGAGAGAGATATGCCCATTTTTGTACAAATCTTTCTGTGATGTTTCATCTAAGCAGCAAGAAATGTTTAATTAAATGCAAAGGAAGAAAATTGGGAGAGGAAGAAAAGAAAAATTGGGAAGGAGAAAAGTTTTTGGAAAGGAGGAAACATTGAGTTTTCATTTATGATGACGAGAGAAAGAGTGAGTTAAATTATTATTTTACATTTATCTAATTGACAAAATAATAGGTGAGTGCCAAATAGGAAAAGGAATTCTAGTGGTGAGTCTCAATTTCGGAGTGGAAGGAATCTTTGGTCGAGGTAATAATTTTGATTTCTTTTAGAGAATTCAATAGATTATGAATTTTGTTCGAGATAAGGAAGTTAGAAGCTTTCGGTTTTATATAAATGATAGTCGATACTTTTGAAGTTACCCTTAAGGATGTTAGCCAAATCAATTCAAATTTTGTTTTGAATTTGTAAGGTTATTTGGCAATGATTAATACAAGTAAATGTTATTAGGAATAGCTAAAAATTTTCATGGTTGAGCTGAGCCAAGTATTGAAAATTTGTAGCAAAGTTTGAGATTTGAAAGAAAGTGAAGCACTAAAGAAATCAAAGTGGGTAATTACAGTTATTTTATAGCAATTATATTTTTTTCTAATGTCAGTTTTAAATGTCATATCATATTTATTTAATTGTTATGTATAAATATTTATTATGTCCGAAAATGGTGATTAAGTAAAAAATAAAGTATAATGCAATATATATATATATGTCATCCCCTTCTTATATTGGCTAGGGATACAACGAGCTGTGCACTTTAAATGAAAATGAAAATGGTTGTACCATTATTTGTATATTAGATGATGCTTATAAACTAATTGAAAGGAAAAAAAGGGAATACATGTCAAATGAAAAAAGAATGAAAAAAAAAAGAAAAAGACATGAATTAATTTGAAAGGCTAACTATAAGTATATATAGCATATAAATATTATATATGTTTTAATTATATAAGAAATAAAAAATAATATGCATGTGTATTTTATATATGCTTAAATTTATATATCAATGTTGATTATCCACTAAGTTTATCATATAAACTCAAACTGTAAAATTAAAATTTTCAAGTAAATCTCCTAATAAGTAGAAATGATTAAAAAAAAAGAGGAATATTTCTACAAAAGACATCAAACAAACAAAAGCAGGTAAATATATTTTATGTAAATGTTCAAATGTGATATTTGTTAGAGGCTCTTTAGTTTATGGAGGATTTTAGTTTTAGTGTTTATGTATAATTGAAGAAATAAATTACCAGTCCGACTGTTAGTTCCCGCCTCGTTAATTTGAAACTCTGGGCCGGGCTGTGATAAAAGTGATATCATAATTCCAAATTAGGCTATTAATTATATTGAAAGAGCTATTTGGCTGAATATTGACTTTAATAAAGTTAATATAATATAAAATCATAAAATTTTACAAGATATTTATTTTTATTTTTTGGACTCAGAATGATCATGAAGATAATGTGACCGTACCAAATATTATTGTTAATCCTGATGCGCTGACACAAATGATGACAACAATGACTCAATTAATCCATGACTCAAGAAATCCACCATTAGAAAGTGGTATAGCTAGTAGTATGAATATGGATAAATATTTAAAGCTATTTTAGGATATGAGACCACCATTGTTTAAGAGTATAAAGGAACCAGTTGAGGCAAATAATTTGTTACCACATATTGAGAAAATATTAGAGGGGATATTTTGTCCAGAGGAAAGGAAGGGTTCATTAGCAACATTTATACTTGATTGTGAGGCTAAAAGATGGTGGAACGATCAGCACCATGATATATTTGGAAAGATATCTCATGCAAATCAAGTGGGATGAATTTACTCAGATGTTCAGAGACTGATTTGTGCTTATTTTTGTGAGGAGGCAAATATAAAATGAAATTTTAAAACTGGTGTAAAGAGACCAATCTATGATGT